CATAATTATGTAAGTGTACCTTACTATAATAATAAAATAATCAAAAACAACAAATGTAAATTGCAAATTAAGTTTTTTTTTACATTCTTTATTAGACAATACAGTATTTTTAAACTTACAAAAACTTGTATTTAATGTTTTATATATATTACAACAGAATATGCTAAGTGGAAATGCAGATTAGTTAACAATTTAATATAATTTTCACCTAAACATAATTTATAGTTTTTAATGCATAACTGTTAAAACATTTTAAATAATAAGTTATTTTTTCTACAAAATCTCTAATCCATTGGTTTGCTTTTCAAATCAAATCCTGTGAAATCTTAATTATAGACACTGGATATATATTTTCCTACTCAACCAGTTATATAGCACATACAAGGCATCTAGAAATAGTTATTCATTAGTATGGTAATATTATTTTAACAAAAAATAAAAAGGGTTAAAAAAATAGTTTACTATGAAAACATTACAGTACAAATGTAACATTACTTTATCCTGACACTTATATTGATAAACAATTTCCATGATGAAATGTATGGAAATTCTTATTTAAAACATATTTAACTATTATATTCAAAGGAATTTAAATACTTACAGTATTATTGAGTGTTAAATAATTTATACAAGAATTCTATACTTTTAATTTGAAAAATGGTCATACGAATTTGATTATACATATTTACAGATACTGTATATCCATAATGGAACTGGATATATGAAATTTGTGTAAATTTGAAAAGTATTGTTTCTTAACACACAGATTTTGAACTGACATTCAAAAGCACAAAATGTCCATTGACAGAAAGAACTGTCAATTCTAACTAAAGCATTAAAAATTTTTTTCTGATGAAAGTAATCTATGGAGAATAGGCCTATTCTTAATTCAAAATTGTTCAATAACTTTTACATTAAAACTTTATAATTTGATAAGCAAGATTTGTGAAAATTTCTCTTTCAGAGGTATACGAAACTTAGTTAATTTTATTGTTTCATCTAACTATATTAATTAAATGCATATGACAAATTCAAAAAATATTCTGACTTGTCTTAATTATAAATTTCATCTTTTCTTGAACTTTTTATGAATAATATCTGTAACAAAATATAAATTTTCTGTTATTTATTATCTGTGAACGTAAATTTGAAAACACTAATCGTACTATTAAAATTATCTATTGTGTATGATTTGGTTCAGAGTTGCATAAAGATCAAGTATGAAATTAAAATTTGTTCAAAAAAAAATAATCTTACTAATTTATTAAGTAAAAGTAAACCATTTTAAAATTATTAGAGAAGTTGAGGCGCACGTATTTAGCCCAAAACGTGTACGGGTAACGAGTGAGCGCCGCCATCTGGCAGTTCTGGACCGTCGATAATGGCGTTTGCTACGTGTAGCTTGGTGAGTACACGATCGGCTTAAACGTCTTCATTTTTTTGTGTCTGGGGTTAAAATTATGATTTATTTTGCTTCCGCCATTTTTTCAACTTATTTTCCGTGAGTCAATGCGCGATGTTCACTGAGTCACGTGATGTTATGAAATGTGCCTCAACGATTTTTACTTGGACTTTAAACGTGTAACGTGTACTTCTGCTACCCGTACACGTTTAACGTTTGAACTTGTGCCTCAACCTCTCTATTCTTATAAATTTAAGAAAACATGCAAGCTAAACTTTATACTGTATTTTCACTTTATACTCACTCCATATTACGACAACTAAAAAAAATAATCTATTTTGTCACGATTTGTTCTGACAACCAGTTGACGTCATTCAACTCACCAATCAGCGATTTGTGCCATCTGATTATTTAGTCGCACGTGTTATAACTTGAGACTACGAGTTTGACGTCAAAGTGTGAGATGATACCACGTGACATCTTAAACAAGTCGAGAGTTGTAACACGAAAATCTCGAGACTAAGAACACGGAACTTTGTCTGNATAATTTATAGTTTTTAATGCATAACTGTTAAAACATTTTAAATAATAAGTTATTTTTTCTACAAAATCTCTAATCCATTGGTTTGCTTTTCAAATCAAATCCTGTGAAATCTTAATTATAGACACTGGATATATATTTTCCTACTCAACCAGTTATATAGCACATACAAGGCATCTAGAAATAGTTATTCATTAGTATGGTAATATTATTTTAACAAAAAATAAAAAGGGTTAAAAAAATAGTTTACTATGAAAACATTACAGTACAAATGTAACATTACTTTATCCTGACACTTATATTGATAAACAATTTCCATGATGAAATGTATGGAAATTCTTATTTAAAACATATTTAACTATTATATTCAAAGGAATTTAAATACTTACAGTATTATTGAGTGTTAAATAATTTATACAAGAATTCTATACTTTTAATTTGAAAAATGGTCATACAAATTTGATTAAACATACTTACAGATANAAGTTTTGTCTTATAGCAATATAGTATGCAGAAACAAAATGGAAACCTGCAATGTTTTATTTTAAAATATAAGCAAAAAGAACAAAAAGAAATGTTAGTAACATATATTAAAAATAATAAGAAAATGAAGAGTGGAAAATTCGAAAACAAATTTACAAGGAAAAGACAATTCGATTTGTGGAGAGAATTAGTTGAAAAATTAATTGTGTATTGGAGCTAAAAAATCCATTATGTAATGGAAAAAGTATATTAATTTAATTTTTTTTTCATATAATTTTCTTCCTTGATCTATTTCTTAAACTGTTTTGTTTATTAAGATTATATATTAATTTGAACTTAACACTTCTGATTAATAATTTTAATATAGTGTCTATGCTCTTAATAATTTATACATATAATTTACTATCATTTTAATTCTTTTTTTCGATGAATTAGATACTTCTTTTTATTTTCGGAAAATTTGCTGTATAATTTTATCAATTATGAATTAAAATTGTTTTATTAGTGTTGACTCGACACGAAAAGAAATGGCATTTACTCGTGGTCGAAAAATTCGTTGTCTTCTTAAACAACTCTTTCGGCTCTTTCTAACGCTTGGTTGCGATCAGAATAGTATATCCCTCAGACATTTTCACTTTCGTGTAGCGATTTCACACGCTCAACTGAACGTGAGTAGAGGAACTCGCATGGTGAGATGGGAAAGCACGTGAGTTGTAACTCCAGGCTACGAGTTTGACGTCAAAGTGTGAGATGATACCACGTAACATCTTAAACAAGTCGAGAGTTGTAACACGAAAATCTCGAGACTAAGAACTCGGAACTTTGTCCGCTATAGCCAATAAAAAACGTTCGTTTAGAATATTGTATAAAAGAGGATGATGCCCATTGCAAAGATGACCATATCTTATATGATTAATCATAGTTTGGCACAAATAATCGATCTAAGTGGTGGAATCAAAGATGATGATAGAAAATAACCAATAAGTTGAGTTGTCAGTCTGCCAGTCAGGGAGCTTCTGGAACGAATTTGAGAGGTCGAAAACTACATGGATTTTTTAGTGGTCTGTCCCAAATACCTTCTTTACTATCCAATCACCCCACTTTGGCCTGGACAATTCCACAATAGGATTGACAAATAGTGTGCACACAAGGAGGAAAGAGTAAAAAAAGTAATTTTTTCTGATAATGATGTAATTGGTATTCACTGACGTGCGAGTAATTAATATTTACAATTATTAAAGTAGAACGAATAACGGTTTTTTTAAAATTCGAATATTCGAATACATCAAATATTTACTGCACCTCATTATCGCCCACCAGTAACCAATAATTAAATCCACCGAATACTCGTAGTTGATCGCGGGTTCCCATTCTTACCAATAACTGGCTTGCCAAGCGAAGTTGCATGTAGCCAGTCTGTGGTCTTTCCGGCATTTCTTTACGCATCAAACATCTTCATAGAGCTCAATTTCTTATGGAAAGTTCTCCCGGAAAAAATCCACCACCTGGCAACAGGGGAGTGCAGGAAGCGACCTCCCCTTGACGGATCTCTTACGTGTATTGCTTTGCCATATACCATCGACCCGATTCGATCTTCTAATTTTGTAATTTGTGCATTGTGCGATCTTGTGTAAACCTTTTCATTTAACGGGTTGATCATTACTGAAAGACAGACTTAAAATCTTCAAAATTATTTCTGAAGAATTAGTATGAGATTGCCTATTAATTTGGAGATCTTTAACAAAAGCTTATGGATTGTAGAAAAAGAATTTGCTGCTTAACTACCTCATACCTGAAGTTTGTTAACCTGAAAAGGCAGAAAACTTTGCGTATAACAATAACTATAATCATTCATTTCAACAGAAAGGAGAAGTATCTTTCTTTTGCCAAAAAATCATAAAGAATCAATTATTTTTTGAAAATTACAATCATAAAATACAGTATAAAAATTCTCCATAATTTTAATACTTGTAAGAGTAAATTGCGTATTTATATAATAAAATAAATGTAATTAAGAATAATTTAGTTCAGGATACTGAAGATGAAGTGGAGAATTACGAAAAAGGCATCAAAAGAAGATCTCGAAGACAGGCACGAAGCCTTCATACGTACGTAAGTTTTTAAATATAATTATTGTTTGATATATAAAATTTTCAATAAAATTTTAAATTTTGTTTAAATTAATTTAAAGTAGAAGCGAAGAATGGAAGAGAACAGTGGCGATTGCCGACAGGAATTCTCTCTGGAACGATGCCATTGTACCGTACGAAATCTCTCCAAAGATCAGTGGTAGGTTTGATGATAATCGTAATTAATTTTTACAATATTACTATTTTATTAGGTCGTAACTTCTTTTATTCGTGGTAGAAAGTCTAAGAAGAACAATACGCACGGCTATAAGAAAATGGGAATCAGCCACGTGTTTGAGATTTGTTCCTGCAGATGAAACGATTCACGAATACAGCGTGTATTTTGAAAATGAAGGAGAATGTGGGTAAGATACGAATAAATTAATCAGATTTCATCACTGCGTTTAAAACNATAAAGAATCAATTTTTTTTTGAAAATTACAATCATAAAATACAGTATAAAAATTCTCCATAATTTTAATACATGCATGAGTAAATTTAATAAAATTAATGCGTACTTTTATAATAAAGTAAGTGTAATTAAGAATAATTTAGTTCAGGAGAATGAAGATGAAGTGGAGAATTACAAACAAGGCATCAGAAGAAGATCTCGAAAACAGGCACAAAGCCTTCATACGTACGGAAATTTTTAAATATAATTATTGTTTGATATATAAAATTTTTAATTTTGTTTAAATTAATTTAAAGTGGAAGCGAAGAATGGAAGAGAACAGTGGCGATTGCCGACAGGAGTTCTCTCTGGAACGATGCCATTGTACCGTACGAAATCTCTCCAAAGATCAGTGGTAGGTTTGATGATAATCGTAATTAATTTTTACAATATTACTATTTTATTAGGTCGTAACTCTGTTTACTTCTTTTGTTCGTGGTAGAAAGTCTAAGAAGAACAATACGCACGGCTATAAGAAAATGGGAATCGGACACGTGTTTGAGATTTGTTCCTGCCGATGAAACGATCCACGAATACAGCGTGTATTTTGAAAATGAAGGAGTTTGTGGGTAAGATACGAATATATAAAGCGAAATTAAACAGATTGCGTTTAAAACTAACGGTTTTTAATACAATTATATAGCCTGCACAGTCAGTGATAGACCTATGTTTGTTATCTTGAATTTTAAATTTTTATGGTGGTCCCTTTGCAACCAGTAATAATGAAGTAACATGTAAAAATAATCAAAAGTCCTTGCTGCTCCTTTAAGGACCTCTTGGTACAAACGGTAGAGAACGGGGGGGGGGTAGTTAGATGAAGTCAGTGAAAGAAGGGATATGATCATGCTAACTGAAGCAAAATTTGAAGTACAGTATCTCTGTTATGTTTTTCGATTGGGTTATTCTATGGCAAGATCACCACAATTTTTTTGTGTTAAATTTAACAATTAAACTACTGACATAACATATTAATTAGCCTAGTAATTTTAATCAAAATCTGCTAGGCTAATTCGTACGTTATGTCAGTGGTTCCCTTCAGTAGCCAAATGGATAAATCACCCGTTGCCAGCCCGTTGCGAGTTTCCACAATCTCCATCAATCTTCACAATCTCCACAAGCCAGCCCGTTGCGGGCTGGCTTGTGGAGATTTTCGGGTTTCTTTCATATTTTTAACACCTAAATACGAATCAGTTGCACATAGAAAGTCTTTCTGGGAGGCATCTCCTTTAGCAGATTGTCCTAGATATGCATTTTCATAAACAAAGTCACTGGTGTTAAAATTAAAATAGCATTATTTTAATAACAAAGACTTAAAACATTCTTTTAAAAAAATTCACGCAGTGAATATTGTTGCTTAATTAAAGGACCATCCAGGGACTAGGATTTTGTTTAACTCTTTCCATCCTGTGGGCAATAAGATGGTCTTTTCCAGCAAGTCCATTTAATAAAATTGCAGATCATTATCAAATTAATAGGAAATAGTTTATTTAAATGGATGGTGCAAACAGAAGGCTTGGCTGCACGTGCATACATATTATGCTGTGTCAGCCCCTCTTATACAATACTGCTAGTATTTCTTATTCATCGAACAGTTCGACAAATGATTCATGTCCCCCAAGGTAGGGAACCGGCCTTCACGTGCCGGGGAGCCTAGCGGGTATAGAGGATCCAAAGATTCCACTTTGGTATTGGCCACTGATGGTTTTTAGACTCGGGCCTAAGGTTCCAAAGATGTCAGAGTATCATGGGTTTTGGGTTTGTGTATCAGGCCTTAATGAAGTTTGTTGTTCGTGTGCCGCGTCCCTATCTGCAGCCTCTGTCAGGGTTTGTAACATCTCTCTAAACTGGAACCTATCCCTGTTTGGATGGATGGCAACCATAGCTGCAATTTGGTATAGACGCATGCAGACTCACATCAAAACAGAAGGGAGACTGGTACAGTCAAGGCACGTCGGCTGTTGTTAATAGTCTCGTCAATAAGATCAGATGGTCCCTCAGTAAGTCCGATTCTGGAGGATGATTGCTGAAGCTGTTGCTAACAGGATTCTCCAAGAGGACTTGTCTTCGGACAAAATAAAAGGAATGTAGTTGATTAGACTCGTCTGATGCAAGTTGGTAGCCCTGATAAGGAGAGAAAGCGCAGTGGGTGCCCTTCACAGAGCCTTACTTGACAGGGGCACTGTTGAAATACGGTAGGGATCCCTGTTGTGCTATCTGCGCGGCCTGGCCCCAGTCCCTTTGCCTTTGATCGAGCACTGCTCTCGTTGGCAGCAAGATGACCCTCTGCTTACCCTACTTATGAGTGAAGTTCCTAGTGTCCTCTTCAGGATCTGGAGATGCTGGAATGCTGGAACTTCTGGATTCAAACACCGTGTCGATTAGAGATACAGAGGTCATGGATCTAACAGTCCTTACCCTCTGGAACTCGAGACACTCTCATGAACTCCCCATTCTCCTCGGTGGCATGAGGCGAATGGTTGAACTCAAAAGAGGTGGCTGAATGCAGTTGATCCTGCCTCAGCCCACGGCAATGCGAGCCATGTAAAACTCCTTCCAAACGGTAAAAGAGAAGCAGTTTCCTAGGAAAAAGATTGGGCTTTGCACACCTAGTGCTCGTACTCCTGTTGCCGAAGTCTTGTAGGTTGCCAGGGGGATAGCGCCTGTAGTGGCTTACAGGATCCTGCTGACTACTGTCTACTGTGACGTGTGGTAGGCAGATCCTCTCTGAAGCATAGGACAAACTTCCTTATGTCTTGGGGAGGGAGGTGATTAAAGATCAGTCATGCGCTGGATGGGCCATAATCATTTTGGAGAACCAGAAACGGGAAGAAAGCATTCTAGTAGAAATAAAGAGGTGTCTAAAACTAAGCAACCAGCCAGGCTGGGGCAACCTTGATTAGGTGGCTATTTAAATGGGTAGCTGTCCAGGCAGTGGGCCAAACCACTTGTGAGGAGGCCCTTAAACTCTTACATCGATGCCTGAAAGGATGTGGACCGTCTGTGGAAAGATGGGAGTGGCCTCAAACTTTTTTTTCATCTTTTGTATTATGGTGGAACAAATGGAAAGTGTGCATGCGACTCTTGTGCAATGTAAAGTTGAGAATCCTAAGCTAACAGGAGATACTATGGAGCCAAAAAGTGGAAAAGAGGAAGGAAGTGGTGTTTCTAGCACTACGACTAAAAAGTGCCACTCCCATAAGAAGCGGAATGCTAGCAACATATAAAAGGCTGCAAAGGCGAGAAGCAGCCAGTTGTTGTATTTGAAAGGACCAAACAGATCTATGATCTAGCCTCTGACTCGTGCCCTGAAGAGGCTGACTTGATCGCCTCAGAGGAGAAAGTAGTGGTTGATAACATGGCAGCCACAAGAAGTGAGTGGACAATGTGCAGACAGGTACACTGCCCAGCAAAAGTTTTGTCTAACAGCCGATCGACAGCGCATGGGCGGAAGAAGAT